ACCTACTTCCTGACTTGTTGCTTAAACAAACGGATACAATTACGATTTGAATATTTCACGGCAGTGCATCCACAGATGGATGTCTTCTGGGTTGTAGCACCATGTAGTCTCGTAGTTTACCAACATTTCAAGGGTCCTTCCTACCTCCATCACCAGGGTGATCATCGCCTTGGTGATGGTGGCAGAAGACAGCCATCTTTAAATCTAAACAAGACTGAACAATTACTGTATAATATCTGTTTATTTGCATCCTTATCTCTTTAATGTCTAACAAACATAAGCACAGAAATGCTTAACTTCCAACTAAAATATATTGTCAATATTCTTACACATGATGCCAGGGCATAACAGGCAGTGTTTATCTGTTTAACTGCCCTTTCCTTGTCCCCAGCAAAAATGGGTTGAAATTCCTTAAAACAACTCCACGAATAAACCACAAATACTTTTAGAAACTTGATATCTGTACTATACTTTGTACTGTACTTGTCTACAGTAATAACGTACTAACCCGCCAATGTCCAATCCTTCATCAAACCCTTTGTTTGATGCTGACTTGTCTTTAAGCAGTGGAGGCTTGCCTGGAGGCAAGTTCTGAAGGGACTCCTGTTGTTCCTTTAATTGACGACGACGCTTTTTGCTCCATAACTCATGACAATCTTGCCATGTTGGTAATTCTGGTGGAGGCATCCTATACAAAAACAAAATAATGTTATTTATAGTTGTGTAGGATTTAAAGTTTTCATTGTGACAAAACAGTCTTAAAGTATTAACTTGCCAGAATGATCATTAAGGGTTTTAATTTTATTAACATCTCTAACATTGCTTTTGTCAAAATCCATAAAGATAACTAGAAAATTGTTTCATAAACAATATTTACATTTTTGTACTAAGCGTATTCAAGTTTAAACAAATTCAATTTTCTTTGGATGCTAATTAAGGAGAGAAACAGGTATCATTTCTGAGTGAATACCATATTTTCATCTACTTCTGCTCCCTCCATGCAACTTAAAATCATTTTCAGTGGATACCACTACAATCGCATTCAATACAGATCTAATTTAAATGCAATAAGTAATACAAACAGCAAACACATGTTTACTTCTCTGGGCAAATATTCTTGAGCCATGCAGATTTCAGAGCATCCTCTGCAGTAATTCTCTTCTCTGGATCTAGCTCCAACATTTTGTCTAACAAGTCTAGAGCAGTTGAAGGCATGAAAGAAAATTCTTCTCGCAATCGTCGGCGGTGTGGCTTCTTTGGCTTCAATGTGTGCCACAAAGGTAATTTGATTACTGATGGCCAAACTGCAGGTGTTGGTGTGCCACACAGGTTGGAAATTATTTCCAGTTGCATTAACTCAACATTGCCCTGTTCCAAAATATAATTGATAAGATAAGTATCAAGGTATTTATTACAGGTAGTTAACACGGTGATGTATAAACAAAATTAAGGAATGAATTTCAATGCTATAAATATTTTTCCATTCACTGCAATTGTTACATCATAAATATCACTAAGATACGCTGTATGAGAATAAACGGAGCTGACAATATAAGAGTTCACATTTCAGCACGGGATTCTCAACCTTCCTCTCCCTGTGTGCATCAAGAAAATCTTCACTGAAAAGATCTTCTCAAAAAATCACAGGCATATGAATCAAATACAGTCACCACCGTTCTAACTTTTCAGTTTTACATACATATACTGTGAAAAATAGTTTCTATCATAACACTGCTTGATAATTCAAGAAAAACTACAAAGCACTAAACAATTAACACTAATAAACACAAAAAACAGCACAGCCAAACTTACATTAACACTACTTGGGAGAAGTTTGGAAAGCCCACTCCCCCACTTAATGATGTTTCTTTGTATTTTCTATTAAATGGGTAAACAAACACATATGATTTGAAGCTTCTGCAGCAACTAAACACAATAAAATCTTCTTGGGCAACCAGCTACATCAATTCGTTACATGAAGAGACCAACGTTTCAGAAACCATCTCCGTCCCCATCATCAGGGTTCAGATTACAATGGAACCCTGATGATGCCAAGATTGTAATGGATAAATAAACATACTTCAAACCTGAGAACATCATATACATTTTGTTACCTATGATCAAAAAAGGTAAATTATTCAAAGCATTTTCTTGCAAACATGGCTCCATAATCTTAACAGGTTACCTGAAGGGGCCACAGCATACCTAAAAGTGGTGAAGTATTAAATGCATAAAAATGTTAGCATCACTTACACAGACTCCACAAAACATTATTACAATAAGATAATGAAAGATAAGATCATTCAAATAAGGTATTCTGTAAATTCTTGATGATAGAAACAAGAACTATAATTATACAAACCCGAAAAAGTGGCTTCTTCCAGAAGAGTTCTCCAAGAATGCAACCGCAACTCCAAACATCAATGGCAGGTCCATACCTCTCCTCGCCAAGCAGTAGTTCAGGGGGTCGATACCATAACGTGATCACCTTGTTAGTGTACGGACGCTGACGATCTTCTGCACTATACAACCGTGCCAGTCCAAAGTCTGCTAACTTGACTTCCCCCCTGTCAGCAAGAACAATTCTTAATGAGCTTACAAACCACAAAACACAAATCCTACTAACAGCAATAGGGTGTTAAAAATAAATACAGCCAACATTGCAAGGTTTTCACATTACAACAAACTCAACCCCCCATTTCTCTTCATACACAAAAGAATTTCTCAATCACAGATATGTAGGATTTAATTCTCAGAGGAACTGTAAAAATAACTTCTCATACACATACTCAAACCAAACAACTTCCTGACAAACACTAGCCCCTTCATTACTAAAGTCTTATTAAACTAAACTTTATGAGAATAAAATTTGCCAGGTGAATTTCATTTTGTTTTATACTACTCCAATACAACTTCATATAAAGTTCAAATAACTGTAACTGATTCTCTCAGAAATGGTCACTATGTACTGTCCACTGACCACGAGAAAAGCCCTGTGGGGGGAAATCGGTTCTGGTGCGGTGCAGGGGAATGTTTCTTATCAGGTGGACTAGAGGGCTGCTATTGGTGGGAAGTGTGACACGCCAGTTTTACACTACTACACACAGACTGAAAACATCAAGCTGTTAAGAGTAGTGTGTAGTGAGTGCACTTGTAATGTGTTCTGTGGGTGTTGTGATAATATTCTAGATTAAATGACTGTGCCACTGTGAGGCAATCTTAAAGCTATACCCATTAGAACACATGAAAGCCTGTTGTCTGTTGTTCGTTCAGTGGTTGTGGAACGAATGCTTTTAGGATGGGTCGTCACTCACAGCGAAATGTTGTGCATGCGCGTATATCAAATTCCTAGCAGGGATTTTCTCCTGGTCTGTGGACTGTACTGACAGATGCCATTAAATAAACTTACTAAACACATTATTTATTATTCTATACAACAAGATATTTGTTATGTGAAAATTGTTGCAGCAATGTGCTTATATTTACAATAAACTGAACAAGGTCAATAATGTATGAAAAATTATGAACACACATGGAAAATACATGTACTTCAAACTGGAGATCTCCACTACATTAATTTTATGTGATACATATCATTTCAGTGAAAATTAAAATTTGTAAACATACATATTCGAGACACAATGTTCTCATGGCAATGAAGATGTCCAGTGTTATAACTGAGAAAACCAACATGGATAAACATACCTGTTATTCATAAGAATGTTACTGCACTTAATGTCTCGGTGAAGGAAGTTTTTCTTATGACAATAGTTCAGTCCATCAAGTAACTGCCTCATTATCGATGCATTGTGTGCTTCATTAAAATTTACCATTCCTGACTCCAGGAGTCCCATTAAATCATGGTCCATGTACTCAAATACCAAGTAAAAAGATCCCTTGTCCTGAAATATACAAATGCATAAACAAAAATTATTAGTACTGTATGGATGCATAACTCAGTAATGAAGACAATAAGATAATATTTCTTGAATTTCAGTGGAATTATTTATAATTTGTTATATTTAGTGCCTAGTATCCTGTCAATTTTATTACGAGCATTTCTAAGGATTGCTCAGAGTTTCAACTGTTCACAAATGTTTTGTGAATTTGATCTGGTTCAGGAGTAAAGAAGAAAGAAAAATACTCTACACCTGTGTGTGTATGTATGTGTGTGTGTGTACACATATACATCAATTCCACTTTAGTTAAACAAATCTTTATACTTTAATATTCATGAAAACAAATTTTTGATACCACTGCCTTGTTCTACACCCTGCTTAATAGACTCTGTGATGAAAAGATTTCACACTCTGTAATAGTGTTCATTACATCGTAACTCTAATGAACTCAAATACTGTGACTTCTCAACAAGGACTATACCAGAAATAATTTCTGAATTATATTGGACAATCTGGACTACCACTTACTCAAATCTGAACGCAAAAAAATCTTCATTACAAATTCTGATTACATTTAACATTGGAACCACTCAATAAAAAATACTGGCCAATCCGGGATGCTGCTGTAGTAGAAGGGGGGAAAAGAGTTTAAGAAATATTACGCTCACATAACTGAAATATTTACCTTCCGAAAATCTAAAGCATCCTGCTTGTCTGTGACAATCTCTCTCAAGTTTACAATGTTCTTATGGTTCAGTTGTCTTAAGATCTTTATCTCCCTTACTGCTGTAATAGGAAAACCTTCTTTCTCATTTTCCAACCTTACTTTCTTCAATGCTACCAGTTCACCTGGAAAACACAAATAAAATACTCTTTCAATATCTGCTGTGGAGAACAAGTCAAAAAACTTGGACATGCATTCAAATAAAATTTAATAAAACTCAGTACAGGTTACCCTTGATTTGCGCCGATTCAGAATAACGCCACTTTTGAAACCAGAAAGTAAAAAAGTGAAAAATATATATTTTACTATTATTTATAACGTTTTACAATGTTTCTCATACTGATTCTTACACTAAATCGTAATTCTTACATCACTGATTTTGAATAAAAATTATAAATACAGTCACCTCTGGACTCATTGCTAAGTAGTTGCGAGATAATCTCCTAAAAATCCACCAACATTGTGCAACAGTTACGCAAGCATTGGTCACTCTTCACGGCAAGTCATTTGCGTTCAGTCTGATAAGAGGGTAAGAAAAAATGTGCTCAGTTCGCTTCTTGTTGACACACTGAATGTGCTGAAAACGGTGTGCTAAACGTGTTTGTGTTGTAGTTCGACCACTATTCTGCAGTAGCAACTTTTATATATTTACAAATTGTAGAAAAGCAACCATGTCTGGTAAGAGAAGAGAATGTGTTGCTAAAAAGTTGCGTAGGTCTATTGCGTTAGAAGATAAGATGGATGTAATTTGAAGAATAGAAGGTGGGAATACCCGTCGTAATGCATGCAGAAGTATGAAGTTGCCTCCTTCCACTGCGACTACCATAATGAAAAATTCATATAAAATAAAACAGTCAATGTAACAGGCTACGAGAGTAAGTGTGACGCAAATGAGTTATAACAGAAGTAAACATTTAGAAAGAATGGAGAAATTACTGTTACTGTGGGTGGATGACATAAATCGAAAAAACATCCTTGACTGAAATTGCTATCACGGATAAGGCGAAGTTAATTTTTGAGGAACTTAAGATAAAAGAGGATAGTAAAGAGACATTCTTAGGAAGCAAGGGCTGGTTTATGCGATTCAAATTTCGCACTAAATGTCACAGTATGAAAATAAGTGGCAAAGCAATAAGTGCAGATGCAAAGGCAGCTGCAGCGTATCAGGCCATTGTGGAGGAGGGTGATTATCCTCCTGATCTTATTTTTAATGTTGATGAGACAGGCCTGTATTGGAAGAAACTGCCTTCACGAACTTTCATCGCCCATGAAGAGAAGTCTGCGTCAGGTTTCAAGGCTGAAAAAGACAGGGTAACGCTTTTGATGGGTGCCAATGTCTCATCAATGTTTGGGTGCCGGGAACGCATGTCACTGACTTCCCATTGATTTATATTATAAAAAGAGTTTCAATTTACGCCGGTTCGTCCAGGAATGCATCCCCGGTGTAAATCGAGGGTTACCTGTACATCTATTTTGTTTACCACAGTAGCTTACCTGATCTTTTATCTTTCGCTTTGTATACTTGGCCATAAGTTCCTTCTCCAATCTGGGCAATTACTTCAAACACCTCCACACATCGTTCTCCCCAGTCTCTACCTCCAGTTGCCAATGATGCACTATTCTTTGGACCTCGGCGACGATGCAGAATCTTTGGCCGTCTAAGCTTTGGACGAGGCATGACTTTGTTGCTTGACTTGAGAGGTTTCTCAGGTACTATTACTGGTGGAGGTGGTGTCAGAACTGTATCTTCATCTGCACTAAGCTCTTCTGAACCAGGGACAACTGACAAGAACAAGAATAGACAGAAATCAGTTAATATCCACAGCAAAGCCTGATCAAAAAAGTATCATACTGAATACGTGAAAACTAAGGTGATGCACTTACAGGGATATTACATAAAAAATTTCTTACCTTTATTTCATCTTTTCCATTTTATGCTAAACTCTCATGGGAGAGAAAATACAGGCCACAGTGACATGTCTTGTCCATCATACATAATTTTTGATTATTTTTCATTATATATACAGCACATCAAAAGAAAACATTACAATAAGCTGCAGATCAGAAACTTACCTGGTGGCATTGGAAGGTCTCTGATACCCTTCCTTGGCGGAGTTTTATGTTTGTTCACAACTGGCTCAGGACTAGGTGAGTGACTTGGAGGAGAATCAATACTCTCAAAGTCACTTTGTCGAATTCCAGGAGGCATTGGAAGTTTGGTCAAGCTCTTTGGTTTTAATGCTTGTGGCACAACTTCTGGTACAGCAGGCTTGCTTACTTCAGCCTCAACAGTCAGTAGTTTTGGTTTGACAAGAACAGGTTCACTAACAGGTTTTACCACCGGAGGTTCTGAATCCATATGTATCACATCAGGAGCACTATTTGATAATGAGGCATCATTTGAGTCTTCATGAACAGGAGAGATGTCCATATTATTATCAGGAATAGCAGTTATGGCCCTAGGTGGAGTAATTTTCATATTTGTTTGCTGTCCTGATCCACTAACCATAACTGCATTACTACCTGGAGCTGAAGTTGATGATGAAATATTTGGATAATTGGAAGGTGGTGGTACTGTAACTGGATGTGTTGGCATGATGCCAGCAGATCCTGGTACTACACTGCTTGGGACCTGCTGCAGACCAGGAGGAACTTGAGAGTTTGGCACTACTACAGCAGTGGGAGAAGGATAAATAAAATTTGCTGGTGCACACACTGATGGATAGGCAGACTGACTTGGCTGCACAGTGTCACTGCAAGGTATTGGAATACTGTTCACATCAGAAGGTGTAATATATGTGGTCTGATCAACATCCACCAGCACTGCTTGAGACAATTCTGTACTAGCTCCTTCTTTCACAGGTGTACTCTCCTCTGGTTCACTGTCTTTATTTTCTTTCTTCTTTTCTTTGAGGGCTGCCAAACGTTTCATTGCAAGTTCCCTCATATTTTTATCTTTCACCAATTCTGCAAATAAACTTGTCTCACTCATTTTTGCAAGCCCAAGATCTTTGACTTTTGGGGTATGTGAAGATGAAGATGAAATGGGACTCCTAGGAGAATGAGGACTTCTAGCAGGACTTCTTGAGCGTAATCTGGAGTGTTTGCTGGGTGGAGTTCGTGGACTATGAGACCTCAGTGCCTTTGGCGTCCGTGAACGCTGCCTTGAAGAAGGGCTGCGAGATCGAGGTCTAAGTAGAGGACTACGGGTGCGAGCACGCTTTGATATTTTAGGGCGACTACGACTGCGACTGCGAATACGTGATGATAAACCACGTACTACAGTATAGCTTGGCGACCGACTCCAACGTCTGCTATTGCGGGACGCGTGTGGGGATCGTGATCGAGACCTGGTTGGTCTGCGCCAACGTTGAATGCTACGACTACGTGAACGAGTCAGAGAACGTGGCTCCATGCGTCGTATTCTGCAACATAAAATTCAAAATGTTATTTTATTTGTTCTGATCCAAGCACCATAATACAAAATATATGCCTATACAGATCACTTGGCACATTTTACTTTAGCCACTTTGTCCTTTAGTCACATAATGCAAGGTTTTCTTAATGTTGTAAAGAAGAGCAATAATATCTCAAAAGCATTATGCCACACTTATGGTACATTCCTTCGGCCTTTCAATATGCTCATAAGTCAGGTTCATTATTAGTACACAAGGCATTAATTACTATGCACACTGTAAGTATTATCACCAGATTTGTTTGCATAATAGTTGAACTTTTCATTTTAATTCTCCTTTGATTGCGACAATTTTAATGTGTGCAATATGTAAAGGTACAAAAGCAAGGAATTATTTTTATTTAATTTATATGACCATGTCATAATATGTGACAACAGCAACAACATTCAAACTGAATCAATTATAAGATCCACCTCTTAACAATATGTAAGTGAACACACAATTAACAAAATGTCATAACAGCACTACTTTAGCCAATTTAATGTATGTGTGTGTTTCTTTCTCTCCAGATGTCTGCAGTCATTTAGTAATGGTCTGTCAACTTCTGCAGTTGTACACCCCCTTTATGGCAGAAATTTTGGGACACATACCTTTGATCTTTTAGTCTATTCCTCTCCATACCTACAGACCTATAAGAAGAGATTCTAAGTTAACAATTAGATTGTGAAACATATTTCTTTACTTCACATTCTTCAAACTTTCTCAATATTATGAATGTAACACTATACTGATGCAAAAACAATGCATATATATTTTGTATGGCATATCATTCAAACAGAAAACACTTTATGTATATTTGTGACAAAACGTTTTCTTCTTTATAGTAAATGAACATTACATCTTACAAATTTGTTTATATAATGTTCAGATTTTTGTGCATTCAATTTCAGTAGTTCTTAATTTCAAATTGTTTTCTTTTTCCTGCATACAGGTATCCCTCATTACACACAATTAATTGGTTACTATAAATCACCACATAAAGTGAAATAAATCATGTAGAGTGAATTAATTTTAACACAGTTATAATAGGGACGCGTTCAAAAATAGAGAAATAATACATATTTTGTTTATGATTCAAAGACGCAAGCAAAATCTTTAATTCAGGAATCACAAGTAATGTTCTACATTTCACACTGATTAAAAGAATATAAATCAATGAACTACACAACATTGCTTCCAAACATTTAATAACAAATAGTGCAAAACTTACCTCATTGGAGAACGGCTTCTTGAACGACTGCTCCTACGTATTCGATTGGACTTATGGCTTCTATCTCGTTCCCTCTCACGTTCTCTTTCTCGTTCCCTTTCTCTCTCTCGTTCCCTCTCTCTGTCTCTCTCTTTCTCTCTCCTGTGACTTCTCATCCTATCCTTTCCATTTTTGCTGCTCTTCCTCCTTTTTCGGGACTGTGAACTCACACTTCGTCTGGACGTTGTGTGAACCGGAGTAGGGTGGTGAGTAATAGGAGATCGAGGACCTGGAGATGTGTTTGAAGGTTTCCACCTCACTATTTCTTCTTCCTCCAAAATACTATGGGACTGTCTTGGAACAGGGCTTAATGATGGTGTTTGCCTTGGAAGCATACTAGGAGACCTTCTATCTGTCGGGCTGGGTGAACGTCTCCCACTGTATCTTGGCTCCACTGCAGCCAGCTTCGATGAGCTCAACTTTTCATAAGCTTTTGGAGGTAATGGTGGAGTATGGGGAGAAGAAACTGGAGTACTACCACCTCTACCCCTTGAAGACCTTATAGAGACAGGAACTAAAATAGTTGAAGTCCTTGTTTGAGGTGACAAACTTTCTTCTGGTTCAGAAGATTCAACATCCATATCACTTGGCTCATGTGGAGGTGTGTTCCCTTCATCAATGAATGGTGGAGACTCTGGAGAAATCAATGCATTACTCTTTGTACAATCATCTGGAGAAGCAGATCTTGGCATGGCAGATGGCAACACTATTTCATCAGGAGATGCAGGATGGTGCCATGAATCTACCAACCGACTAGCGTCCACTATCTCTTCTCCCGAAATAACCAAACTGATATCATCTGACTGCGGTGTTAAACCACCAACATTTTCCTCTCCCATACCACCAGGAGAAGAGCTTCTTGAATGATGTCTGGATTTTCTTTTTCTCCTCCTGCCACTAGAAGAATTTGGACTTCTACTTGACCTGTAAGAAGTTTTCAACTTCCTATCTCGGTCCCGTTTATGTTTCTTTTCCTTTTTTTTCATGGAGCTGAATCGATGGCGACTACTGGAAGAATGTGCATCCTTCATTTTCCTATAAATGTCCAAAGAAGATGGGGAAATACTTCTGCCAACATGATGTTTTTCAACAGAAGGTGAATGATCATGACGTTTCCTATGCCTCAGTTCACTTCCCCGGGATGTAACTGAAGAAACAGATGCTCTACGTTCCTTCCGCTTACCACTGATTTTTGGCATGGAAATTGAAGGAGAAGGTGATCGAATTATTAACACAGGAGAAATAGCATGTCGCCCACTATGGCTCCGCCTGCTTTCACTGCTTCTTGATGGAGGGGAAGACACAACACGGGAATGCGATGAGAGTGATTTTCTGTCACTGTGATGTCTGTACCCTTTATCCCTATCAACATCTGATTCCACTAATTTACTATTAGCACCACTTAGTGATGCTCGGCCATGTTTATGCTGACTCCGACTGCTAGAGCCATGATGGAGTCCTGAATGTGGGGAGTTTGGACTCACTTCCCCCTCACTTAAACTAATTCGAGTACTCTCATCACTCTGTATCTCACCTGCTTCAGGACCTGAGAGATCCTCAGAACTTACATCTGAATATTCAACTAAAGGCTTTATGACTGATGATGCTACAGAAACCACTGGATTATCAGCACCACCGGAACTGCACTCTCTGGACCGTCGCTTTCTCCTATTCTTCTTATTATTTCCAGATATCCTCCCATGACTTCCACTATGTCTACTACGTCTACTTCTGCCTGACTCCATGTCCATATTTGTTTGAATGACAATACCATCTAGGTCACTTCCTGATGCATCCGATCTCTGAGTGTTGCTTGATCGACGACGATGTTCAATGATCCTTCCATTTCTTTCCACATCCCGACCACTTGGCATAGCACCTACTGAAAAAGATATGTGCTTGGTTGTTTTAAAAATAATTTCGCAAAGAGACAAACACAATTGTGCATCACTACCAACAAACACATTTACTCTGATGAAATATGATGAAACTTTCGAGCTAACATATTTAATTTATTCCAACATTATAACCACGCATACACACATTTTTACACGTCTAAACCTTTATTACTATTTATATGTGTGCGTGTATACCTTTCTACTTTAAATATACACAAAGTACTAAACATCACTTTTTAAATAATCACTCGCCAAACCTAAAAAATTCACTTTATTGTCATAGACTATTTTAGTATAATAATAAAGAAAAGGCCAGTGCATATAAAGGCTGAAGGTACTACAAAAATATAAATGAATAACGCACTTCATCGTATAAAAATTATATAAACATTCCATTCAAATAAAAACACATACATGCCCTAACCTAACTTACGTTTATAACTATTCACTTAAGTACTAATACTTCGCTTAAATCATAGATATTAATGGATTTTACCTAGTATTTTCACTTCACTTTAACTGCACATATATCAATTAAACGCGTCTGTTGTTTCCAAATGTACACTGCCACTACCCGTCCGCCATCTTACTTCCCCACAGTTCGTTTACAGGCATAGAAAGCTATTTTAAGATTTACAAAACACTCACAGCACAAAGCAATAATGCATGCAAATACAATAAACGAGTCAGTAAAATGTACTCACCAAAGAGATGGGTACTTGTATTCAGCCAGAAATTACGAACATCCTTCCTGGAGGACTTGAACAATATACACTACTCTTCATTCCAATCTAATAGTTCAATTATATTAGGTTCTTTATTGAATTATAAAGAAATACTAGCTGCTCGGGTATTGTAGTATGGTATTTTAAATGTCCTTTACTTCGATGTATAGATATTTTATTGGATTTAAGCGGATATATTTCCGATCATTTCAACAACATCATACAAGATAATTAGGCTTCGACCATTTGGTGACGTCTCTAGTGATGCCAACGGAGCAGGGAGAAATACGGTTAAATATAAGTCTATGAACAGTGAACACAATTTAGCTAATCCAGTTAACAGGTTTATGTAACTAAGCCAGATATTCCTAACTGATCACGGCAAAAAATAAGTCTCTAAAATTAGTTATACATAGCATTAAATAGAAATTCTACGGCACACAAGTGTCACTTAACAATGCTAAAAGTTTAGAGCAATCAAAATGTAAGTTGAACAACCTGACTACCACATCATACCAAAGGCCAATATATTGGAAAGATATTCCTGAGTTTTGCAATTAAGGCAATTTCTTGAATGTAATAATGTTATCCTCTAATTTATTTTCGAGATTTTTGTATTCAGCACATTATTGAAAGTCACATTATTTAGGTTACGACACAGAGAAATATATATAAATATGTCAAATGTGTAACCCAATCACATTACTATTGCATATGTTGAAGGGCATCTTTCCGTTGATAGAAAATGAGATGTAGGCACAGCTAATACCAACACAAACAATTGAGGGCAACTTGGGCAATAGGCGCTAAATACCCACGTTATTCTAATATGGCAATTTACTTCCTTAACCCCAACCAAATTGTAATAAGATTTGGAATATCTATTATTATAACATATTGTGACGTGTTGCCGTGAGAGCAGCACAACAATGTCAATAAACAGTTTAATTGTCTGTTTATTGACATTGTTGAGTTTGTTTATAAACATTGTTGCGTTTATTGTTGTATGTTCGTTTAAAAAGCCGATTGACAAGCGGCTTTTGAGGAGAGTGTGGAAAGTGCTGAGGTGTGAGTCGGATGTAGGAGAAGTGTGTGGTAGAGTCAAGTGAGTGGAGCCAACGAGCGGTCTGGTGCGGCGCTGGGTAAGGACAGGTCGGCTGCGTGTGAGAGCACCGGGTTCGTGGACCGTGGCGGCCGAGGAGCCAGCGTGTCCAGTGGGGGTGCTGAGGGCCGGAGGCTGCGTATGTGAAGAGCGCCGAGCTCGGGGGACCAGACAGACTCGAAGGACAGTGCGAGAGTATGTGTGTGTGTACAGAGACTCGAAGTGTGTTGTTGTAGTAGAGAGTTGACTGTAAGTGCAGACCTCTGTAAGTGATTTAATTTGACGTGAATAAATCAGGGGTTGACAATCAAGGTCGCAATACCGTCCCACGTTACAATATATTTATTACCTGCATTTTCTAAAATATTTAAAAAATGCATAGAAAGTAATTCATTATTTAAAACACAAAACATTACTATTTATTCACTGAAATTATTACGAATTTCAAACTAATTTTGACATTGCTACATTTCTTTTGTACACATTCTGAAAAAGGGCGAGATTCATGGTAGTGAAAATGGTGACAATGGTCTTCTGGCTTTTGGTACCATGTAGCCCTGAGAATGGAGAGAGTATGTTTTTTTGTAATGGGGGAATCTGCTGATAAGTCTGCATAGACCGAAACTCAGATCATCATCTTGTTGAATTCCGTTTACCCACAGATTACAGCTTCTTATTCCTTCTCTTCTGGAACATGCCATTACTTAAGATTTCTTTGTAAAATGCAAACAGTCATAGGTTGTTAACAAACAGTTCACAGCCAAATAAGTTTCTCCTAAATTTTGATAAAGCAAACTTTGTAACATAAGGAGCCAATAAATAAAATGTAGAGTAATTTGAAGTTATTTTGGACTGAAAATTCTAAATTCACTGATATATTGAGGCCTGAGGAAACTGCAAAACTATTGTGTAGTTGTACAATAGGTATCATAATTATGTAACTGTACCAATAAAACACTTTACTACAATCACAAAAAACAAAAGAATTTTGACATCAAGCTGCTGTATTATGCAGTCACATGATTCATGCTCAAATTTGCATGTGTTACCAGCTGCTGCAAGGAACCATCAGTTGTAATTTGTCAAACCTTATTTATATGTCCCACATATATTTTAATTTCCTAGTACAAATTGGAAACTGTCAAAGGACTTTATACACACATACACTCCTCTGAAATGTTTTTGTTTCCTTTTTATCTTCACATACCATTACAACCCAAAACATTCACTGCTGTGAGAATCTCAATTATCAAAATGTTTTTTGATCAGTGAACACCTGCTTTGCCATCCCATTTCAAAAACCAAACTGAGTCAAGCCAAAATCAGTAATATGGGATGTGGATACCAAGAAAACTGACATGAAAAGTGTGACTACCTTACTCCATCAAACATTTAGTCAATGAGAAATATATTTTGTATAATATCATCTGCAGCAACACAGAAACCAATCTGCATTTTCTCCCACCCAGCTACACTATTTCTTTTGTTAATTCACACATCAACTGGTTGTACAACTCTTTGATGTGTTACAAGAGCAATATTTCTGTATCTTATGCAATTTGCATGGCAACCTAGCAAGAGCAAACTACAACAGAAACTGTACTGGCGACATAACTGATGCTCTGCCTTTCAATGCAAGTCATGGCAAAGACATTTGGAAACATTTGCTTCAATCATTGTGTATTGTTATCACCAGACTGGATAATAAGGGTTAGTTTTTCTGAGATTTTTCTTGATGTTGGTAAAAGATGTGTTCAGTTCTAATTTGGCAATAAAATGTAAGTGCTCTGGCTACCGTATGTGTCTTGAAGTAATATCTGTGTGAAACTAGTGGTTTATCAAAGAGTGAAATATGTATACAGTAAGCATTAACCTCTTCAAAGCTGTTCACCATCTTGAATGTCAATTATGAAAATCAGGTGTTCTGTATGATGGACAACCAGTTACTTCAATCATGGTGTTGAAATCAACCCATAATGTAGCTTACCTAAGTATGGTGTTGCAAACTTTCATTTTGTCTATTATGTTAAGCAAGTTTCAAACAAGTCAATGCATTTTTCTCATATATTGCAAACACAAGGAATTGTAGGCAGAATGTGGGTGGGACTTTCAGGCATGCAGCAAACAGCAGGCAGGACTTTTGCTTGTACAGAACAGATTCTAATAGTTGGTTGCAAGTACAAGAGTTTATGAATTGAGAGAAAATCTTTTAATTCATCGGTTCAGAAAACACTAAAGACGCCAAGAATGTTGAATTATTTTTAGCTATATCTGTATATCCAGGACAACTTTTCAACAACACACACTGCCTTAGCCACATAAATATTATTTAAACCTTTGTGCTATATTTTAATATATGTTATTAAATATTAGAGGATGGATTTGAAGATTATGGATTTCACCAATTTTTGGATATTATTAATACCTGACAGAACAAACATTGTTCCAAAAATTCATAAATTGTTATATTGAGTTATTTGTTACAAATCAGGTTGTTTTTCCAGAGATTTTACGGACTACTGTATATTTCATACTTATCATTTATGACAACTCAGGATAGAAGGCATTCTGTACAACATTACAAATCAAATATCTCACTTTAGTCTTTAAAAATTTTTCCAACTGAACTTGTTATGCATCATATATGTCCAATTATTTTATATTAAAAATATGTATTAACACTGTAATAAAAATGTGGATGAGATTTATATACACTTTTAACAAACTGTTTCTTTTAGAAGTCTGTGCATTGGCCATCTGTCATATGAAAACTAACCACTACTGACAATTCAATCTGAGACCTTAGTATGACAATGTATTATACACTATATACAAATACAATGGAAATGTTGTTACAAAATTGTAAAAACTGGGATGTCCTTCATATATCACATATGTGCACTACCCATTAAAACATGTTACTCTCACACCGTCTCTAATGTGTGTACACAATTCAAATGCAATTACAGTGTTTGCAAACACATTAAATTAACATCCTTTGTCCCAATACTTGTGAATTATGATTTCTATGATCACTATTTAGTTTAAAATTCACCCTAAGGAAAGTTACATGTATATGTATATATAATGAAATCTCACTAAGTATGACATTTTCAAATTTATTGTGCGACAAATCTGATTTAAGCTAAATTCCTAATTTGACAAAAACATTTTAACTTCTACTCACACATTATTCCAATCAATGCAATATTTTATAATTTTTATGAATAAAGTTTCATATTTCATGTATTTTAAAATATTTCAAAAGGTTACTGCAATAAAAAATTGGACATGAAAAACTGTGCAAGCAAATATGTTACCAAGGCAGTTTTTGTTTGTGAAATTTAGTGGTCTATACATAAACAAACATAAAATCAAAAGAATTAAGAATTCACACTTCCTTGTAGAAGGAATGTAGTCAAACATATTAAAAAATGTGACATTACACTGTTTTTCAGACATTTCAATGCAACATTTTCAACACTTCTTGCAAGACTGTACAAGTGCACAGACACAAAGTACTTATTAGTATATATGCACTATAGTCATGTCAAAATGTCCTCTATAACATGGCAAGAGTTCATAAATAATTTCTGCCACATTTATATGTGCTTCTGGATATTGTGGTAAAACATGTTTTGTTTCTTCCTGTCTAACATTTATTTATCACAAGAAACAAATTTGTATACTCTTCACAAATATCGTGTTTTCCACTTTTAACATTTAATACATTCCTTACCATCAATGTAAATTTGTGGCTCAATAAAACTATTATCATAGGCTACAATCTGAAACCTACAAAATGACAAGAAATTTGGTTTCTGGCAAACCTACTATGAGGCACCCTTGAAATTTCATCAACACGGAACCAGATCGTGGCCGTGTCACTTTGCAAAGTTATTCAACTCAGATTATGCTGAACACCAGTAGCAGATTTGTCACATTTGTTATGCTGTTCAATGTTTCCAACTTTTAGTAAGTACACTTAATAACAGAGGCAACAAAATAATGAACATGTCAAAACTAACAGTAGCACCACAATGAATGCGACCAGCTACAATGAATATAACAGACATTATCACATACAAAGACATAATAAACTGTGTAATACCAAAGAAAAACACAATGTGAAACTCTATGTGTAAATACTGGTTTCTGTTTACATCTTAAAAACTAATTTATCCACATCCAGAATTCCAAGCATAGATCCACTAAACAGACTGATAACATTTTAAATTATTTTATCTTTTAGAAAAGTCATAAAAGTGAGAAATTTGTTTACTGGTCAAGCACATTATCAGCATTTCTAGGAATCTGCTTCATGGAGTAAGTTATTAGTTCATATAATTTACAAAATTTTACCTTTTCATTTAGCGTGATATATACAGCAGGAAAATGATGTAATGTTATTGTTTCACTGTAGCTGAATCACAATAAATGCTCAGAAATAAAGGTAGTTGTGCTAACGGTGTAATGTTCATTAATTTACATGTTTCCAAGAACACAATGGAAACAACAAGAATCAATTCCTTCCCTCCAGCACAACTTAAATGGAAAATAATGCAGTGGAAGGAACTGAAGTCATTTATATATCCTAGATACTGTATAGAACTACAGATGTTAATCATCACTTTTACACAATACAGCACATTTTCGAGCATACTAAATTTATATACAATTTATTTTACAGTAATATTTCAGATTCAATACAGTATAATTATTTAATTAAATAAGTCAGATAATAAAATGTTTATAAAAAAGGAAAGGCAAAAAATGTATAATAAACAGGGTAGTAATAAAATATATGAGAAATGGAATGAGCAGTATCATTTTATCATCTTCCCTACATGCCAGTTCTCCTGTCCACATTTCTGCCAACAAATGAAAGAATGACACCATAAACATGATGTCCTATGTCACTGGTGCATGATCACAAATCTCTGCTCAGAATTCTAGTTCTTCCATGGTGCGAGAGAGACGATTGTTGTCAATACGACGTCTCTGACTGCGTCGCACAGCATCTGCCCGCCTGTAGGGTTCACTTTTGAGACCCAATAAAATGTCTTCCAATGCACCATTATATACTTCATCCTGCTGTAGGAGTTTCTTTTCTTGTACAAGTCGAGTTTTGCACTTCAATTCATTTATCACTGCTTCCTGTAAGAGGACAACCATAAAGTTGTATCAAGAACCTATGAGAGTATAAGGCTGGGAAAACAAATTGAAATTAAGAGAGATATTTCTTTAATAATAGAAGTCTAAAAGCAAAGGACATACAGATTCACAATGGATCTTGTACAGAACATAATACTGCACTGTTTCTCCCAGCTTATTCTTATTCTGTGCTCTGAATATTCATAAGTTACACAGGAATAATTACAACCTAGAATTCAGAAGAAGAAAAAATCAAATGCTTTGGCGTATAGAATATCATTTCTGCTTCATATCTAACATTCCCAGGATAAAATCTTGGCTCAGAGACCAGCATTTCCAAAAGAACATTAATGGATTTTCTGTTACTGTTGGTAAAGGCTAGGTCAGTACTTCAAAACAGATTATCTCCATATTATCCATCATGCCACATTGAAAGAGTGCCATAAAAGAAATCAAGAAATAAACAGTACACAATGAGAGAAATATTGCATTCAGAACAGCAACTTGAAAAGATGATATAGGTAACTTTAAATTCTTCAGGATGCAAATTAACTTTATGTCTATTAAAGGTATATATTACCCCCATCAAACAAATGTATTCTATAAACTGACTGTTCTTTTGTCTGTATGCTGCCAAATTTTTTTTATATACTACTACTACTACTCCATGGCACTACAGCTCTTTTGTAGGGCCTTGGCCTCCTTAATGACTTTCTTCCATACCAATCTAACTTTCTGTTAGATCCACCAGGATCTTCTTGTATTAGGTTTCTGTACAATTAGTTTTTCCAGAATGTTAATTACCAACACCATACTAGTTAAGAAAATCAATATGCAAGTTCACAGAAACAGTTATGCATGCTCAAAGTCAAATAGATGGTAGTTAAAACAATGGTGGTTAATCCCAGGGAACTACATCAACCTTGTATGACTTGAGGTTTTAACAGTGGTGAGTATGAATATTTCTGTCTTCTGGGTTTTTGCTCTGTGTAGTCTGGTCGATGTTTACCAACGTTTCAGAGGTCATACTGCCTCCGTCATCAGGGCGATGAATGTGCCAATCAGGTGGGTGGGGCTAGGTTTATAGGAGCCGGACCATGAATGGAGTATCCTGCCCCTAGACAATGGGAGCAGGTGTCAAATCAGGCGTGGGTGGGGACCAATAGGAGTGCCCTTACCACAGGAAAACATAATGCATCATCATTATAACGATTAATTTAATCATACTTTTAAAATTTATATCTCCTTCTGCTCTTGGCAGAAAGATAAAAAGAGCAAGCCCAAACTAGAGTGCAAAGAATACATAAAACCAGGATAAGGCTACAGAATAAGGAAACAATAACAATGTATTCCTCTGAACAAAATGGTAAAATTAGCAAACATAAGTACAACAGAAAAGTAGGAATCATATAGAAAATGTGTGGGGAAGAAACCAACAACCTAAGCAACATTTTATATAAGAAAGTCACTTTAACTAAAGAAACTGTGTGGAAAAAAGAAAGAGACAACATACATTACCTCATAATTAATCAGGGAATAATAATTATGTAAAGGCATCCCAAAGCCAGCAGTTAATTATAAAACAAGTAAAATCATAAAGTGTTGAAATTAATGTCAGTAATGCCACATAATTTCCATAAGAAAATGTAACTGCAATACTTGTTTTACTGCAGTACAAAGTTCCAAAAAATTTCAATACAATGGTGCAATGGCTGTGAACACAAATTTTTAGAAGTGATTGCATGCCACCTGAAAACCATTTTATATTGAAAGTTCCATCTTTGACCAAACATTTTTTCATAAATGACTTACGAGTTTTTCAACCAGGTTTCCAGTCTGTTATGATAGTGCTGTTAACACATTCCACTTGTTGTTACGGCAGTGACTAGGCTGAATAGAGCGTTGGGACTTCAAAACAAAGCAATAATAAAAAAAGAAAATTTGCCCATTAACAAATACAATGCAAAGCAAAGCTCAAAGACAATATGAAAGAATTTTTTTTGTATATGTATGAGCAACAGATTTAAAGGGCAGGCAACAACTACAAATATGCACAAAGACAAGCTACAAGAATAATGTAAGACTTGACAAGAATAATAATATATCGCCACAGTTCTCTAAATTATGCTTCTTTTGGAACACAATGGCTATATTTATAAGAAAGTGTTGAGACATTCATTTGCCTTGTATGAAACTTTCTATTTATTCTTGTTCATATTTGCACCTGCATCACATTTGTCACTTAATCTCTACCAGATTCAACCACTACAGCTCCCACGCAAGCAAAATACCACCTTCCCTCTGAGACCTAAATTACTGAATTTAATGTAAAATATAAAATACATTCACACACATAAAATCTTTCAGTTTTCTTTGTTTGTAAGTGGAATTTAATGGAAGACTATGAACATAATGCATGCACCACTAGATTTGCTGCTGAAACCGAAATCACCATGTACTGGTATAGATAGTTTCCTTTTTATACTGGTATGGGTGGGTTCCAATCATAATATTCAAGTACAGAATAATTTGTATAATTACATATCAGATCAAGGTAAAAGAAAGAATTTAAGTGTAACAGAAACCTGGTACAGGGCCTAAGTACAATGTGTTATTTATTTCTATTAATAATTATGTACACAGAGCGTTGCAGAAAATGACCAAAACACAATGCATAGACAGAGAAGTAGGTACTGTTTCCAAACTTCATCTGCAAGGCAGAAGTCTGGTATATGACACATTCATCTTGTATAATATACATATTATCACAGCTACACATGTCCTATTATGTTGATACTAAATGTCCCTATATGCAACAATGTACCATGATTACATCCTTGATATGTTGAAGCAGATCACACATTTCCTCCTATACTCTTCATTCTTCAACATTTTGAAAATAGCCACTTATACCTAGCCAAAGCAAACAAAGTTGTGGATAATATAGCAGCTAGAAATACAGAGCAATTCTGAATAACATATAGTTATTAATTTAGAGACATACAGGAAATAACCAATCAACTGTCAGCTATGTCCATTGGATAAATGAAAAGAAATTCCCCCTAACAGCATTACATCCACAAACAAACTCTCATCAAATAAGACCAAACGTGGCAAGAACATACGGCTTCCTTGGTAGAAACTGACTCACTTCGCTCTAGGCTAGCAGACCAATAACCATAAATGCTGAGAGACAGGACGAATGATATGACTAATATGGTAATGATTTTGACATACAAGGGCTGATCAAATTTGACACTGAAATTTCACAGTCATAAAAGAATAATGTGAATTGGTGTCATTTCTACACATCCATTTTATGGGATGGGAAACGTGTGAAAATGTAGGGGGAAGAGTACCTAAAGAAAACTTTCTAATATGAAAAAATGTTCTGCAGAACTGGTGGATAAACATCTGGTGCTGGACAGTGTATGGTCACAAGTGAAGAAAAGCAGCTCAGTACACAGGTACATATATGCAGCTCCTCCATCTGATGGTGTTACGGTGACTACCATATTACATGGCAGGAAAAGTGCTCAGCCCTAAATTCAAACAACCCCATGCTTCTGCTCCTCATGGGTTAATCCATGTTGCTACTCTATATAGCATTCACTGTCACTCTGTGGATTTAAATGACTACACAGACTCAACATGCTGGTTGATAAAGCAAAGAAAAACTGAGAGAAAATAGAAAGACAACATCCTGAAAGAACAGCAGTACCACACAGTCCAGTCTTAATCAAATCTGAATGACCTACAAGCACAAGTTACCAAGCAATTACAAGCAGTGTTTGGCAAGTTCATAAAATTACTGTTCATTACATACGGCACACACACGGAAGGAACTGATTAGTATATTCAAAAGATGAACCATACATACAATATTAGAATCAATCACCAAAGAAGGAAACGTCCTGGACAACTACATTTTCAATGTCACAAACACTTAGCCATGAATGAAATAGCAGACTACTGTACAATGAAACCAAAAGCTTCTATTAAAGAACAAATAATCACAATTCATGCAATGCACACTATATTATAGTTCACAAGATGGAAAAGTGAAGCATAAAATGCCACTAGACAAGGATAGGATATTATATATTTTATGAAACTGAAGTATAAATAATTTCTTCCTCTTTTGCAATTTTCTCATTGAGCCCTAAATACAAAACACATCCACATTCTATGCAGCTTTCAATAAAACTTTTAGGCATTTTTGAAACTGCATGTCAAAATCACACACATAATAAGCATCAAAGTTCTTCACTGTGCAAATGCTAGTGAACACTAATGTTATCAGTTCTAATTTGCAACACTTAAATGTTTCTGATAGAATTAATCACTGGTTAGATGACTATAAAAACTAAAATTTCCAAATATATCCAAAAGAAAACAAATTAAAGTAATGGGTTGGTCTTCTAGATAGTAATGCTGTACAAACTTCTAGGTACATACAAATGTTTTGGGGCTGAAGGCCTGAATAATGAGACAGCATGTTCCTATGAAACGTTGGTATCTACTTACAAGTCCACATGATGTTACAACCCAGAAGACTAACACTGACATCCTCACTGCTGTGGGAACCCCAAATCTCAATAAATTGTTTTAACTAAAATTCATAATTAAAGTAAAGTAAAGTTACTACCTGCATATTATTAATACTGATAAAGACTGATATTAAAAAAGAATAAAAGCACAATTATCAAATAAGAATTCTGGCACAATAGCAAGCAGTCCAAACCTGAAACCACGAATATGATTTGTTTCTTGCTCCCATAACTATATGCCTGTTATGACTTGATAAATAAGGAAGTAAATCAGAAGTTGCAGGCTTGTGCATTCTTCAAAGCCATGTCAGCTGTTACTCAAATCTGTGTCTAAAAGGTAACATATTATATCTGCATACATTTCTTAAGTCACACTCATACTCACTTGCTGTTTCTTCTGGTTCAACTTATTGCGCTTCATCACTTCCTCATTGGGTTTATTTAGTGCCTCCAAAGCTGCCTGCTCAAGTCTTCTTCGCTGTTCATTTTCCTGATCTGCAAGCTGGAGAAATATTGAATTCCAAATTAATAAATAAACATACACACATCATCAGAACAGTTTAATGTGTTAATTATTTTTTGGCTGAAATATGCAGAAATAAATCAAAATATACTATAGAAAGGTAAGCATCTACCTTCTCTAGATCAAATGTTTCCAACTTATTTTTTAAATGGGTCACTTTGCCAACCAATACTATGCTGGACTATCAAATCCAACATTTTTTTTAAAACCAGAGCAGCCAGTACATAAATCTACAACATTTTTGCGCTGAAGAGGAGGAAATTGGGTAAATTAAGACATTTCCAGCCAGTATCTTGCCAGCAGGACATACTTATACTTTTAGTCCTACAGTAGATCAATGATACATAGTTTGTGGAGGGGGGATTTAGAGGGAGGGGAGGAGAGAGAGAGATCTGAATGGAACTCCTTTGAACTTATTAAGTTTATATTTTCTACTAAAGCATTCTGGGTTTAGAAAATAGTATGTAAATTTATACAAGGCATGGAATCCACTATCTAAAATTATGTAAGAACTTACTTTAAAGGCACGGGCAAATCGAACAAGCAGTGAGAAAAATGTACTGGCATCAGCTGTGCGTGGAGATTCACCAAAGTATTCGACACATTCTCGGAAAGCATCTTGAGCAGTACGACCATCAGCCTTGAGTCGTCTAAGCTTCTCTTCAGAATTTGCAAGGAAATCTCTCAGCACTACACTCTGACCACTACCACGTTCCTTCCCACTCCCTCGCAGCTCCGCTTCTTTACGTACCAAATCCATACCTTTCTCAAGCTCATGAATGTCTGTCACAATGTTCTCCAGGGACACTATAAACACAAACCATCCACAGTACTCTTATAATGAATTTATTGACACTAAGCTCGAAACTTAGAACTCACCTGAGCCACACTAAAATTACAATTTTAATTTATAGTTTTTGTTGAAGGTGTGTCATTAAACTGGTGCATATTACTGGATATTTTCCTTCATCACATACCATAAAAATTCTACATTAGCATTACAAGCCATGTAGGTAAAACATGGGAAGAAGATACACAATAAAAACATGATTCAGAATGTAAAGGTCTACTTCTAATTAGAGCACTATGCATATATTGAACAAATCTTTCCTGCAGTAAGCCCCCCCCCCCCCCAAGTAAAATATTTAACAAGATTATGATAATGGGATTAGAACAGCAAACGTTTAGAATACGATAAAACTTATTCCACATTCCATTACATGAAGTGTTGAATCAAGAAGATGAATTCACAACTAAACTGGAATCACTTACCAATGGCAGCTTTATCAATGTACATGAGCTCAGAGTCAAAGTTCAACAGCTCTGGAAACTTATGTCTCACTGTGTCAACAATATAGTGAAGAAGGCACATCCTCTTGTCTGTGGATTTGGTGTCAAGTAATGTATCAAGGCTCTGAAGCTTGAACCCATAAGCTGGTCCACGCTTACTGCTATTCAGGTAGTTTCCAAATGCAAGGATTATCTCCAGCACCCTACGGAGTTTTTTGGAGCTCTTCACTGAACTAGATGCAGATATGATAGCATGAATTTGCTGAAAAGAGATATAGTGAAATAATTAAAAATAAATGTTGTACACGTGAGACTTCAGGTTCTCACAGCGATGAGTATGATGGGATGTTGTGCCATGTTGTCTGGTAGCCAGATGTTTCAGAGGTGCTCACTGCCTCCATCATCAGAAGACAAGCTACCTTCAAGAGTTACAATGATCAAATTGCTCTGAATAAATAATCATGAAGTGGACAGTGAATTCAAGTATTTTCTGAAGTGTGTCAAATAAGTTCAATGAAGTTTTCTTTTATCAATCTAAGTAAGCACTAAATTGATTCTTCTGTTTCACTCTTTTCCACTTATTCAGATACAGATTCTTTTTTGACAGTACTGATGACATTCAGCATAATGAAAAATTACAAATGACTATATACATGGACCAAAAGGAAATGACTATTACTTATTTTATGATACTAGGTACTATCTCACCATTTCTTGGAGTCAGAATAGCTGGCATTTAATCTCAGTTTTAACCAAAGGACTAAAATATATGATACACAGTGCATTATCATGACATGATTTTCTCCTGTCAGGCCATACAAATGTATGAAATATTTTTCATTTATAAGCTTGTGGAATGTATTAAAGAGTTCATCTTCTATATAATTCTATACCAATTCACAAGCATATAATTCAAGTCACCTTTCAGATGTCTTCTATGTAATAAATATCTAACTGCTCATTAGATTACAAGGCATGACGGTAGGAAATGAATTTAATTTGTTCAAGATACAGTTCAGCTGCAGGGTGTTTAGGATTTATTCAGGCTTCTTAAAAACATTACAGATAAATCCAAAACAAAGAAAGTAGTACAATTAGCTTCTCAGTATGGACTTAGTAACACAGAGGAGGAATCATTATGAGCCTTTTTGATAATTTGTAACAAACTGTGCAATACTCACTGGAGTAATGAGGTGAATATTATCAAAGAAGTTGCCAATGTAGCTCATAATGCTAAGTTTGGCTGATATCCTTTCTACTTTCCCCAGTTGCAGCAGGAACTTATCTTCTTCTGTCAGTAAACTCACATTCTTCTTTGAGCCCACATATTCTCTGTAGGCCTTAGTCTGCACATAAGAGAACAAGGTGGTCAACAAATAATCCCTTGCAGAGACACAATTCTGGGAGCACATGAGTGTATCTAGTTCAGTTGGAGGCCAATTTTCTTATAGATGAAACACACAATAAAATTCTATATGGACAAGAGGAGAATAACACCTACATGCTGAAGTATTCACTATTATAATTGTGGTCAAATTATATGGATTTTGAGATTCTTTTTTGCTCACTTGTTGCCCTATACATCAGACTCTGCTACTTACATTTGGTATTCTGAGTCAGTACTCATTCTGATTCTGATCTTCTAGGTTGTGATGTCACATATTCTTGTGGGGAAATATACTGCCTCCATCTCCAGGGTACAAGATGGAAGTTGTTCTTTCAAAATATTGATATGAGTAATATTAATATAAAATGTCTGCTAACATCAAAATATATTCATTATTAATAGTGTCAAACAAATTTAAAAGTAAAGATAAGGGGGGAAAAATTACCTCTTGGTCAGTCGGCACCATTCTCTGAAGAATTTCCACATTTTCCAGTGACAGGAGCTTCAGATCCAGTGAATTTACAGCAGCAATCACCTTTTCCACAGGCATCTCCATTTTACGCCTTGATATTGCTGTTTGTTACAATTTTAAATATAAGAATTTTGTTTGTTACACAACTTTAGGAATTATACAACAGTAATGTAAGCAAGGGGTCAGCAATCAAGTGTTCTCACATATATGGGTTACATTAACACTAGGTTTGAATATTCTGTTACTAAATAATCAGATCTAATGAAGATAACATTTTTACTATTAGTCACACAAAAAGCAATGTGCAAACAATAAATTTTGAAATCTTTCGAGATAGACTGACCCCACGCTTTTCATCATTATTCTTAGAAGATGAAAATGGTACTTACCAATATTCCTGAGCCGCGTGTGCTCAAGTAAGGAAACATTTTCTGTACGTTTAAACCTCTTGCTGGGAAAACTGGAGAGTCCATCCACATCAGTATCCCCATTGGTAAATGCTCCACCAGTACCAATTTTAAATCTCTCCTCAAAATCACTGAAGTCTATTATACTGTGCAGTCGATCATCATCTAGCTCATTGAATATTGTACCTCGAACCTGGAAAATGGAAATCACATATTTGGACCTATTAGTAAATGACTTGTTTTTCTGAACACAGTAACAATATTGAGCCAATTCCATGGTTTACTCTAGAACTATCCTATGTTAAACAATGTTAATACAGTCAGACCTGTGTTAAATGATGCTCTTGCTGTTGTAACTTATGCCTCCAATTATGGCTTAATTGACCTCCCTAGTCATAATGGTAGCCTTGTTTCCCTCACAAAGTTTTACCTTTGTCAGCGAGATGGGAAGCAGGAGAGGCACATGAGAAACATACTAAATTCAGCCACTTCTGAGCCTGCGACATTAAATGCAAAAGTCCAGCATCTTAATCCTAGGTAAGCAGCCTCCCCTCCCTCCATTACCATATATAGCTGGGTTGATGGGCAGGCTGATCAATTCCAGGCAAGTCTTAATTGATAAGCTAAAAAACTTATATTAGAATACAATTCAACCATATATTTCATATATTTAGGAAGCTCTGTTATAGATCAGGTGCTAGTCGCTGGCTTCACACAGCGGAGGCCTGTATTCATGCCCAAGAAGTCCACATGTGATTTGTTGTGGACATAGTGGCACTAAGATCAGGTTTTCTCCAAGTACTTCAATTTTCCCCTGTCAATATCATTCCACCACTGCCCCATCATCTACATCTGGGAGCTGGACAATGAACCCATTAGAGGCCATGGTTTCACAGTCTCCTCCCTTTGTAGCAGCAACAGGAACACCACCAGAATATTTAAGAACACACTTTCGTTGGATTAAATCTGGTAACACACCTACCTGATTGGGTTTAAGTGCTATCCAATTCAGTGTGGGAAGCTTGTACTTAGTCTGAACTTTTCTCTTGATGGTCATAGCACCGTCTGGAGCTTGCATCATTCCAGCTGGTGGAGGAGGTGCAGGAACTGGAGGACCACGTGATGAAGACAAGGGTGGTGGTGGAGGACAGGGTGGTGGGGGAGGAGGAGCAGGTGCTGGTGAGGCAACAGGAATCAGTGGAGGGGGTGGAGGTATGGGGGCTAATAATGGATTTGTACTATCACAACTGGAACTGCTTCCTAAATTCACAGAAACAAAGACTGATATATTATTGAAATAAAGAAAGTGTAGTGTGCATTCAGATTCAAAGAAAACAACTGGATGTATATGTGATGAAAATAATCTTGCTGTAAATAGTATTGGTCACCAATGCCATGGGCCACACTGTACAGTAGTATCCTTGTGTATATAGTGTGTACATTTATATCTGTGAGTGAGGTTACACAGAACAGAAATATGAAACTAAATCACAGCATACCTCTGGGTAAGGTACGTGTAAGAGTCTCCAGCTCCATAATCTTGCTCTCTAACATGGATTGTCTGTTCTGAGACTCCTGCTGCTGCTGCATTACAGCTCGACGCAATGTATTCACCTCCTCGTCTACTTGCCGTCGACCTTCAAGCAGCTCATCCCTTTCTGCTCTTACTGCTCCCAATTCTGTTTCCAGTTCTGCCAATTTTGCCAATGATTCCCCTTCCAGTTCAGCTAATCGATCATGGGCCTGGAATAACAAGAAATTATACTGTCAACTGTTCGTGCATGAGAGGAATATATAATGTTAATCCTGCTCTTTTGGGTGCTGGCACTGCATGGAAATGGGCTGTATTGCTAACATTTCCGAGAAACACGCTCTCTCCATCACCAGGGCTGACTTCACATGGTGCCAGCATCCAAAAGCAGGTTCAATATTAACAATGAATCACTCTTAAAGCCTCAAACCAGACAGATATACATGTCCCAAGGTACCATAATATCAACTGTCAATGACTACACCAGTGGAATCACAGTATAATGGGCTCTGTGTCATATTAAATCAGAGTAATAAAGTCAAAGTCAAGCACACAAGGTTTTGAGAAAACCATTAAATTTAAAATATTTTTTCTCTGTACGTTATCTATATAACATCTGAGGTCTACATTCATAAATATGAAGAAATAGTTTTTAAATTGTAAACTAACTGGCTGTGTTGCAGGCCAACTTAGCAGCTAAAATAAAAAAAAGCACAACTAAAATGGTTTAATTTAAGTAAAATTAAATTATCATAACTGCTCCCCATATCACGGACTGCAACTCACATGTCCGAGCTCATCCTCCAGTTCAGCTACTTTCTCCAGTGCAGCAGTCTTTGTCTCACTATCTTCCATAAGAGCAGCAACATCAAATACATTGTCCAAATAGGCAGAGATTTGCACCTGGCCAAGAAAATAATACCAAATTCATATTTAAAACAATAATTTCTATAATTCAAAAAGTAGTTATACATATTCCAAAGATGACAGTGGGGAATCACTAACGTTTTGTAATAATGGGTCAGACAAACTGATGTTTTACAGGAATGCTTCACACACATGTGATGATGAAGATGGTACAGACAGTGAAGCTGTTGTCATCATTCCCTCTCACTGCATTTTTGTCTTATCATGCTGTTAAGCAACAATTTGTTTCTCTATATATTAATTATCATTATAAATAAATTTTGAAAATTAACCTAGCCCTCTTCATTGTCATAGTAGACTAATTATTATATAGTACAATTCATTTTGCTTTCCTATTACTTGTATCCTGTTAACTCAGAAACATTTTCTATAACATTTCAGTTTACTATCCAACTATTTACATTCTTGATAATTACTGGCTAGCAGAAAACTTTATAAGAACTTGTTTGCTGACATTCTGTTTAAAGGCAATGCAGCCAATCTATAACATAAAATTTAAAAGCATGATTTAAACAAACCTTATGTAGGCACGTAATATTTGGTGCAAACTAAAAATAAGAGCTGAGGGGAACATATATGGGGAAAAAGGAATGAAATGATTAACACAACTCAAACATTCACATTGTGTGAGCAGATTTCATACATTGGGTTTACCATCAATATCAAACAACAAATTACGCACCTGAAGTTCTTCACTTTCTGTGTGTCTCAGTTTCTCTAAGTAGTCATCAAGTCCAAGTTTTGTGAACTCATACTGGAGGTGAACACGAAAATTCATGTCTTCAACTGAATGCACCACAATATTAACAAACTGCATGCAAGCCACCTGGAAATGATCACATAATTTTGGAAGTATTCTATCACTATAAAGACTGCTATCTTTTTATCACTAATGAAAAAATTATATAAATATACTATTATAAACAGTATCATTGAAGCAAATTTAAAACTTCTGAGTGAGTCAGTATGATATAAACTGCTTGCGTTGCTTCCTTACAGAAAGAACAAAATTACAAATGTATAATGTTTAAAACATTATCAAATGGGAAATTTTGCTTTGTGCAGTGGTGTCATTTGGAGTGAAAACCTTAAGATCACAAAATCTAGTTTTAATGCTGGGTCACCATGTAACTAATTATTAAATTTTCATATCTTATTTAACAGAAAATGAGTGGGTGTGGCATAGTAATTACCATGACAATAAAACAAAATGTGTTACAAAGCATTCTACTGAGGGAATCAATTAGAAGTCTCCTAAATTTCAGTATAACTTGATTTGTATATTTTCCCATTAATAGGGAAAAAGGGGAGGGGTTGCCAATTATTTAAAAAAAATATAAAAATGCCTGCAAAATAAAGAAAATTCCTTACAAAAACTATCACTCTGACCTGCAGTCAATTAAAATCACAAAAACGGTGTCTTTCTCTTACATGCTATTTGCTTGTATTTACCATGAATTCTATATGGAAGACTTGGTAGTTAATAAAGTATTCCATAAGTGTGTGGAAGCGGCGTGTCTCATGGCACACCTCCTTGAAGTTGTCAAATGCTGACAGGATAATCTCATGACCACCTTTGACTAGACAGATTGCTGCAAGCAGCTCCAGAACCAATGCTTTTGTTCTGCAAACAAACAGTCACAAACTCTTAACAAGATATGTGAGATGAATATAAAATTTTATAATCTAATACAAATATAAAATCATATACTAACCTAATACAATCTGTTATCACCTCGCCCTTTTATAAAACCATTAATTTTCATTAACTAAAAAAATTGGTACAATGTACATCTATTCTGCATCCTAAAATATGGTTATGAAGTTCATAATTTTGGAAATACATTGTTATAATGAGTCTCACCTGTAACGCAATCTCATGCTATGGACTCAAGAAGAAATGTGAATCTTGATTAATTGGCTTATATTTTTTTATCACATTGTAGCTATTGTGAAATGACAGCGTGTTTGAAATTATTCTTGCCTGTAGCTTTTAGTTTTTGTCCCCAATTACTAAGTAGAGAGCCTGCAACTGTTTCTCTAACATACCTCAGACTTTTGTGCATAAGACTTAAGGCAATGCAGTTAATAGCTTCTCGATGCTGGATAACCATGTTGAATCCATACTATAACAAAGATACAGACATTATACTAAATAATAACAGTATGTAAACATTTTTGTATGAAGATATTACAAAGCATAATGGGATATATATAAATAACACAATAATGATCCATAATGTTGCCCCCTTTTCTTGTGAGGCAAAGATTTCAAATTATCCCTCTTAATTACAAAAATTCTGACATTATAATTTGATTTATATAACAAATAGTACAGTTCCACTAATTTAAGTGTTCTCCATGGATCACTCCAAAACATGACATTAGTATTAGTATTACACTGTTCACTAAATTGGCCAAAAAAACACAAGAAGTAAGATGTTTTGACTGATTAAATTAATGAGGGATGGATTGGAAATATCTTATAATAGCTAGATAATCCAGATTTGCAAAAAGATTAACAGATAAGAACATTTAACACTACATTATTCCACAGAATACAACTGAAAAACAGTTAATTCTAAATAATTACCAACTAAATAAACAATAAGAGTCCTTATTATTAAACACTGTATGTGTGTGCAAACACGTACAAAAATGTACCAAAAATATTTCACATGTTTTAGCTACAGCATCTTCATGGAAACATTCCATTACCTTGTTATTCATGATAGCACGCAGACACATGATACAGACATGAATGTCATCCTTGGCTTCACCCATGTTAAGCTTGGCAACATGTCGTGAACGTCTGCGCACACCTGGACTATCCAATATGTCCAATGCTGGACGAAGGTAACCATTATTATGGCCTGGACTGCTTACAGAAGCTGTAACAATTAATCTACCATAACTGACTGCTTTCTTAAGCATACATTATGTACCGTGCAGTGCAAAATGCCTTATGACGATCATCATCCATTTTTCCTTGACATAACATCAATAATGATCTCTGAAAGTGGGTTCTGATCAACCCTTTACAGTGTTCACTAATATCACATGCTTTAACAATTAGAAACTCTCCATTTTGCCCACAGAGATTGCTTGTGGGTTGTTTATTTCAAATAAACAGCAATTCCTTTCCCAAACAACATCAATCAACTCATCTATATAATGGAGAACAATGAGGTAAGAATTGATATTCAAAGATTAAAATTACATTCCAACACTTTGTTGAAAGATTTCATATAGTAAGATCACTTACACCTAAATTATTCCAAATATTAACATAAGAAAAAATGTTTATTTTGTAAAAAGTCATTACAGAACAAATGTCTGATTTACATAAAAATGAGAAAATAATTCCTTCACAGAAATATAAGAGAGAAATACACAATATACGAAGAACTATGCAATTTCTGGTATAATATTACTTTCTGCATATGTTACTGACCATTCTATTTTCCCCATTAGTTACTACCTTTAGCAAATTATGTTTTATGATTTCATGAAATAAACCTGTGTAAGCTAGGTAGTTCTGTACTTCTTATTCCTCTGGCAGGTTTTAAAAAAATACCTGATGCAGATGAACCTCCAGCTGTCATGTTGCTTGCCAGGCGCTCTTCTGAGGAGTTACGTGACTCTGATATCCTCTGTTCATGCCTCATCATGACCAAACGGAAGCTCAAGTATTCAATAAGGTGATCTAGGCCTTGATTTTGGTCATCCAGAAACTCACGAACCCACCTACACATAAACATTTCGATGACTAACTGATGATGATGATGAGAAAAATATTATTAGTTCAGTACCCCTTATCGGTACACACACAAATTAACAACTGAGGTGCAACACATAAGAAGAAAACAACCTACTGATACTTTTTATGACAAAAAATATGGAAAAGCAATTAAACCACACTCGGTAAATCAGAGAAGTGTAGGCAATACTTAATGGCAAAAACACATGAGATGTTGGTAAAGTTTTGAGACAAATAACTGGCAATGTTTTAAGTTTATTTTAACATAGAAAAGTTCTGCCATGAACAATTCTCTGTATCCCCCCAAACTGTAGCAAGTTCACATTGGTTGCCACTATTTTGACATGTTTTCTACAGAATACATATAATTTCTAATAAATCTGAGACTCTTGATTTTAATCTGATTATTTTATATGCACAAATGTAAAGTAATCACTTACTCAATGTGATTTGTTCTCAATGAAATCTCCAAATCCCGTAAGACTTGTGTAGATGTAGCATCACCAACCATTTTTCTTTTCTGTTGAATAATAATGAGGTACATTATTAAACGCCACAATATTCTGCTGCCAATAGTTGATACCCTAATAGCAGCAGAAAAGTGTTTCGTGTTTGGAGATGCCTTCACACACATATACAACCAAAATAATTTTCAGGACAACATTTAAGATGTTGTACAACATGCAATCTGACAATCCAAAGTCTTATAAAGTGTTGTAAGTCCATATTTGAAGAGAGCAATGACAAAATATGCTATAAGACTACTGAGGCAGAACAATGTGATGAACACTGGAAATGGTACTTAACTTCAGGAAAGCAAAAAGTATAACATAAGGTTATGGTGCAATACCTCATATCAAAACACAATACCATTTAATATGAATTTCAGCACTTCATACTTAATTGTTCAGATACTGTACATAAGCACTTCTAAACCTGTCCAAGCCAAAGACAAGAAATCCAGTTGCTTTGTTACTCAACTAAGTCCATAGGGCACAGTCTTCCTTCAGAATTTAACAGATGTCCAGTTAGTGAAGAAATTCCACCAAAGGGTCATTACAATATTCACAACAGCCTAAGCTAAATTCTCTAACATGATACAGGAACAGGGAATTTAAATCAACATACTATGGGGTTACCAACCACATTTTTAATCTTGAGTTAATGGTTTAACAGTGCACTACCGTAACACAGCCAGACAGATCTCCTGCAAGCTGTCTGACATATGGCTGATAGAAGTTAAGAAATATTTAAATATTATTCTTCCGTTATGCTTGGATGTTCCACGTATGTTTTCTTTTCACACTTTCTGACTAAAATGTTGCATGCATTTTCCATTTCTACCCTACAAATGCTGACTTCACTGCTGTTTTGAAATAGTGATCTGCAAGAATAGAAATCTACAACAGAACCTTGTGATAAATATACGCTAATCACAATTACTTAAACCCAGACTTAGGGAAGTGTCATATATTGCATGCTTGGACTGAACTGCTTTAAAGGATACGCAACATATTTACAATATATAAACAGAATAATCCAGAAGCAGAGAAACTCATTTTAAATTAAAAACCATGAAGGACCTTGGGAAGAGGAATTATACAAAACTAAACAAGCTCTTTATAACAACCAAACAACTGCCTCCAAGTGCAGTGGAATAAGCACAAGAGGAAGAACCCTCCTCACTTGCAGATTAAGATAATGAGGCATGGCCTATTGTTATTGATGTCACATCTGTGACTCTCTCAGCTAGTGGGTACACCAAAGTCAATGACCCTGGACCTAGGGTCCCTGTGACAGGCCTAAGTGGGGGGGCGGGGGGCGAAACAAGCAGACAGGATTCTGACAGGGGTTGCAAGAACAGTGGAAGATGATCCTGCAGTAAGGATAACATAGGCTGAAAAAGATGGTCCCACAAGAAGGGCACACCAGTAATATGGAAGGATCCATTTCGTTCTGATGTACATAATGGCAATTCACCCCAGACATATGAATAATTTATAACTGAATATGGATAATGAATATGTAGTCCTATCTACAGCATACACAAGTTCTATTCCACAGAAGTTAGTATAGTAACTAGGCTAGGTACACAGACGCGTTAATGCCCTACAGGTTAACTTACTCTGGAACTTCTCGACGCTTTCGGGTCCAGGTACGTCCTCAACTTGGTGAGGTAATGTGCGGGAGGGTCCTTGGCATGGACCCGTTCCTGAAACAATGGAAACATACGTCAGATTACGATAATTCAAAGAAGTTAACAGTCGGTTATTACCCGGCTTTTATGCAACCCGAATGTTCATTACCATAAATATCAATCTCATCTCAGGCTATTATCTCTCCCCCCACTCCTCGGCTTTGCGTGAAATGGTCCCTGTACGTTGATCTTCGCTCAATATTCACAAAACTGGAGAATTCTGGACAAAGCTGATCTCCACTGCGGCTGGAAGCATTTCAGTGCTTGACCATGCAAAACTGAATGAGGCGCATACAACAGTTGAGATAAATGTACAATGTGATTAACATATTAATAATTCTCTTGCATTCGAATGGAACGATTTTTAAAATAAGCTTCACTTTAACATGTCTTGTTGCTTAACTTCAACTGTGATACAGAAACGCGATGAATCCGTCAATGCAGTAGGCTTTACAAAAAGATAACGAGAAAGACTTTCCAACCAATCCTTAGCTTTCTCGTACAAAACACATTCACAGCACATAGAAAAATCTTTCATTACAATGACTGTCGCATTCCATTTCGTATGCGTATTTCGTCGTCCTTCTCTCAGGTGTACATAAAATGATAAATCGAAGTCTGTCCACAGCGATATTTCAAACAAAGGATAACCAAATACTAATATTATCCATCTAAACAGCAGAATATCGCGGCTGAGCGAACAGCTCCCCTTGCTTCATATTCGAGGGATCCGAGATTCAAGTCTCGGGCTGGATATTCTTCAGTGCCACCTGACAAATGCTGGAGAAATATCATACATTCGACAACACACAAAATACTCATTTCAAAAAGTGTCGTGGCACTTTGATTTATGTTGATGAATTAATAAAACATGCGATGACGCGCTGAGTGAAGTCTCTTTTTCCCGTAACGGGGGCAATTACCTTACATTTTATTCTGTAACTGTACATAATCACGTCTCAATATAATCATCTGTGCGGTCCACACGCTTCCACCAACGTTTAGCGATATTCATGTGTCCGTCACGATAAAACTGTGTACTGCTGAAGGACCCACATCTTCGAAGCCGCCTAAACTTCATCGTCTGACGAGAAGTACAATCTTCTCAGAAGTTCTTTCAGTCTCAGGAAGAGATGTAAATCAAATGGAGCCACGTGTCGGACGTTTGGTGGGTGGTCCACGACAGTTCAAGCGCCCGTGTGAGACGTCGCATTGTCGTACTGGAGGAAAATCTAGATATCCGGATAAAGTCGCGTCTTCAATTCTTGCAGAGTTCCAACGTAGTGCTCAGAGTTTCTGGTGAGGCACAATTCGAATGTACTACACCATCAATGCCCTGGAAAGTACTGAGTATGACTTCGACAGCAGAAGGTGAGAGAGGCCTCGGATTTCCTTTGTGACGGTATTCCATTTTCTAGCTCTTGTTTTCAAGCTCGAAATAATGCCTACGGGTTCCGTCCCCGGTGACAAATGATGCACAAGTATTTGTCGCCTTCGTGTTCATATTGCAACTACAATTGCTGGAATATGTGCATCCACTTCTGTTCCGTTTCTTAGCGAGCAGTCAAAGTTGTCATTTATTCTGCACTGGCATCGTCTCCTTACACTGAGCCATTTTCACGACTGTTATTCAGGGACTTTTAGTGGCAGAACTATGAAAATGCACACAGAAGTACAGGGAAGTTTGAATGAATGAACTGCGTCACGTTATTTCTGGGGAGGATGTCTTTTTAGCGCGCCAGGTACTTCAGTGTACTAGTAACTACGTTTGTTTTCTTTGTGACATTAAGTCTGAGATTCTGAAAAGCATTTTACGTCTTCCTGACATTTATATGAGGCCCGCCTACATTTTTGGAGACGACATCTCTCGAAGCCTGCAACACTTCCATTTCAGGCAGCAACAAAGTGATATGGCCTCGAACGATTATGGTTGCATTATGGTCATGGACCACGTTATGCTGCGTTACACCAGTATGCAGTGAAGAAGAAGTAAACTGCCGGGTGCTGGACTGTTTTAAGCTTGTACGTTCCCTAGTAATAGAGTTCGGTGAGGTAGACGACCGAACCAATGGGTTTGTCACAGCGTAGGCGACGTTCTTGTCTGGTCGACGGAGCTGTGGAAGGGATCATGACTATGGAGGTCACCCACAACAGCCGGTAATGACATCATCGCAACCTACGCTTACAATGGAAGTCATGAACGAACTGCGACTCGGCTCACATTTGTACAAAACGAATACAGCGAAATTAAACAAAATAATCTCAATGGGTGTGACAACAGATGTACACACTCCGAGGTCCAAAGGTACGAAACGATCTTCAGATTAAAGCCATCTGGTTGGTCGATAAGCTCGCTGTCCAATGACAATGATCAAATGTGTGGAAGTAACACAACTTGTTTCGGCGACAGCTTGGCAATCTTCATGGGGTGCAACCAATATCTAAGCGAACAAAGGTTTACTACAGTATGTGTAGAATACAGGCTACTTATAGGCCTAAACATACGCTGGTAGAGCATCCAGTGCAGCAGTCTCAAAAAATGTGATTTAGCAAGCCAATATTCGACCTTAACGTGTCCTGAGACTTCTGCTTGGAACCAACTACGAAAATGTATCTTGTCGAGATGTCTGAACGTGTGTGAATATCGAAGTATTCAAGCCAAAACAGCGTGTCCTGCGATACCATTTCACCTGTTTTTCAACAGGAACACGTACGTGTCGAACCCCGCACAACAATAAACTGTGTATTATGATTCGATTACTTGAACTCGATGATAATGCAGTTAACATTCGCAAGTGCTTAACTTTCTAGAGGCGTCTGTACTAAATCAACAGAATCCGTATGCAACATGTGTAGAGCATAAGGTCATCGAATAGTGACGTCATGCAAACTTGGTGCTTCTTGTGCACTTAAAAAAAAAAGGCTATACTTATAAAAGAACAAGAACAGTCTTTCAACTTTGCAGATTGCACTTGAAGAGATGACAGATGCAAGCTAATAAGTGGCGCTACTAACGAAAGAACAGAAACCGAACAGAAATTCAAAACGTGAGAGAAAGGGTGAAAGAGATTTACTGTAAAAAGCGCATTCTTTTTTACTTTACCTTGAATTCAAAAGATTAGCATCCCGAAAAAAAAATCACACGCTTGTATAATATTATTGCTATTTCTGGGAAAGATATCTTATAGAACACACAGAGACAATTCAAAATTTCATTCTAATGAAGAAATTAAGAGCAGACTAAATTAATATTACGTTTCCCACCACCCCAAAATCTTTTGCCTTACCATCCCCCATATATAAGTTGCTTGTATGGATGTGAAATTTGGTCTCTCAAATTATGGGAAAATGCAGACTGGAGGCGTTTATGAACAAGTTGCATGATGTTCGGACCTAAGAGGGAAGAATACGAAGCTGGTAAAACAAACTGCCTACGAGGAGCCTCAGAATTTGTAGCCTTCACCAAACACTATCACGGTGTTATTTTACATTTAGCTAGACCACTTCCACATGGCGACTGAGTTGTGTAACACATAACAAGAACATACTCTCAGCAGCCGACTAGTGCGGAAAGCCGCAATACCAACGCTAATCAATTGTTCCTCCTCAATGAGCCGTCCGTCTCCTTGAATTCTGAATGGGTTTTTTTTTCGCCGTCTGCGACTTATTTTTATTTTAGACTTTCCCCACGTTTATTGTGGCCGTTGCTGCTACTGAAACACCTCGCGTCCGCTGTTTCTGGCTTTTCGCCGTTCATTCACAAAAGACCTGCATGTTGCAGAGTTTTACTCCGTTCCTGTACATCCTGTAAATGATGACCTTGCTGTTCTTCTTGTAAGAAAACTTTGTTTTGTATGCTAATTTCAACAAAAAATGCAAATACATGGAAATTATTTTATGTAATAAATGCGCAGTGTACACACAAATTTCGTCCAACCAACACGAAATGTTATTTCTTCCTCTACCTGAAATTACTAGTGTCAGAAGACACTTCCGGCCACTGGCGAAAACTTCAATATCAGTTAATGTTTAAATTGAGCGAAATAGGGTCGGAGAGTGCCAACTAGGTTCACCCGGATCAGGACAGATACCACATGCGGGCTGTTGTGAAGGCGGCAATGAACCACTGGGTTCTATAAAAGGTGGGAAAATTATAGCAGAAAATAAGACATTACTGTAATGCCATTAAATCTTTATCGTGATGAACAACATAAACATTTACCCCTTCCCTATGAAAAAGACGCTTACTGCCTCCATCATTAGGTCAACGAGTCCTGACGATGGTGGCATTAAGCACCCTCGAAACACCGGTCAGTGTCTACCAGTTACACGGCGCAGTACACCAGAAAACAAGTCATTTTCATATTGACCGCTGTGGAGGAATCCGAAATCTCACCGTCGCTAAGGTCATTACAGGACTGATGTATTGACCGCATCTTTCGCCACCGCTGTTATCATTTGCCAGTTTCCCTTCCCACTGCTTCCCGAGTGCGTTGTTAGGGAAACCCTCTGGCAATCACGCTAATGGAAGAAGACTGCTGCAGAAATCGCTATGCTCGTTGCGATCCAACTGTACCAACGTTTGGAAATTCCCTCGAGTACTAAATGTTATTTTCCCTGCGAATATGCAACGCTAAAATTCAATGCGGTGTTGGAAAAGATTCTGGGTTCGTCGATTCATTTCCTGTTCCTACAGAGGCTATCAAGATGGCGAAGGAAGGCGATGGTTTTCATATTACATTCAAGGGGAGTTTAAACTTGATCACAGCAGCTTTCTAGTTGCCATTGTGACATCACTTACAGTCCCTTAGATAACTGTAGGCATATTATCCTCGTTACGTTCATCTGTCATTCGTACAAATGATCACTTGATCTGACACTTCCCCATCAAAACTGATAAAATACGTCAGTTGCTGATTCAGATGAACAATCGATGCATAATAAACTATGAATCGGGCAGTGTGCAGGAAGCGACATAAATTATCATCATCCAAACAACGACCTGGAGACAGAGG